GATTTTAATGACAGCACTGGTTTCACGATTTTTCCGCATACGATTCATTGAAACTTTCTTACTGAGTCTTCTTTCAAAACTTTCCTTTCAGCAAAATATAAAAAATTATTACAAAATCTTTCGACACTGAGCCAGGCACTAAAATCTGCTTACGGTGCAGAATCTCGAGTTCACGTTGATAATTTGGTCGTTAAAATACCAGTGCACTTTTGGGCGAGGATTACCAATCATCAGGCAGTCCATTTTAAATTTTTCGCCCTCAGTGACGAGGTACTCATTTTGAAAAGGTCGAATGAATTCCGGAACGGTTGAAGTCGGACTGTATCCTGAACACGGTAATAATCCATAAACACAAAAAAAGCACACAACTTTTCAACTGCTTAATTTTAAGCAAATAAAACTGAGCAGAAATTACCGATATCAGTGATTTGTTTTTCGGTGTATTCTTCAATCTCCGAGTGATAGCGATGTTTCGGTACTGGTGGCGGCGTTGGAGAAGATAATATTGCAGAATCACTCCAAAAACCTTCTGACTAAAAAAAACAAATAGAGGCGAATCCAGACGACTGAAGCAACCATGCGAGTCAGTTGCAGACGCAAGAAGTATAAATAGTAACGCGCACCAGACTAGCCGGTACGATCATGCGTTCTTTGCAATTCAGCCCATCAAACGATTGCTTATTAATGATTTTCACTGCTTTGTATTTTTGTCTATGCAAAAACAGTTCAACAATTGGAAAATAGTTAAAAATTTCACGCACCAGCGCAAGAAAGCTGAATTCGAGACCTTGAAGGGAGAATATCTTTCCGTGACTCCCAAGTTAATAGTTTAACCGCCAAAATTCTCACGAGGCCGTAGGTGATACTCAACAACAAGGGAACGTTGATTTTGAATGGGCAAGGTTGAGCGTGGGCAGGGGGTCATTACCCGAAAATTCCAACCTCCTAAACTTCGTGGTTCCCGAGATATTAATTTATCCGTAAAATTTCGCGGGGCCGTACGTGTTACCCGCGGGTACGGAAAGCTGAATTTGAATGGGCAAGGTTGAGCGTGGGCAGGGGGTCAATACCCTAAAATTTCAGCCTCCAAGACTCTGTGGTTCCTGAGATACTAATTTACCCATAAAAAAATTTCACGGGGCCGTACATGTTACCCGCGGCTACGGAAGGCTGAATTTAAATTTGCCACGCCGCCCGTTGGCAGGGAACACTATACCAAGATTTCAGCCGCTTAGTTTTTGTGGTTCCTGAGCTGAAAGTTCGGGACAAAATGTGGGACACACACACACACAGACAACCCGGTGAAAATATGCGTTTTGTAACGCTGTTACACAGCACAAAACGCGTAATAAATAGCAGCGAGCATCAGAACAGCCGGTGCGATCATGCGTTTTGTGCAATTCCGCCCACCGAACGATTGCCCGTTAATGATTTTCAGTGCTTTGTACTTTGTGTAAAAATAGTCGAAACGTTGAAAAATAGTTAAAAATTTCACGTAATTAAAAATTTCACATCGCCTCAAAATTTCAGATCCCCCATTTTCGTGGTTTCCGAGGTAATAATTTACCCGCCAAAATTTTCATGCGGTCGTGGGTGATACC